TCTATTGTCTTCAGCTTTTACATCTCATTAACACGATAAAAAATAAATAGAATGCTCATTGTATATTCCTTACACGACAAAGAAAGTAATACTGAGTGAATTATTGACAAAGCTTATATCAATTCTGTCTGGTCAAAAGCTTGTACACGTTATTTCTCCCATACCCAATCTCGGATCAAGTTATTATCTTGCACGATTATTTCTTTTACCTGACAACACAATAATAAATTTAAAAAAAAAAGACTTAATTAACTATTGGTAAATATTTTTTTTTTTGGTCTCGAACAGGGGAAAGAAATTGTACCTGACAGGTGTGGTGGTTTAAGTTGAATTAGTTTCCCTTTAACTGTAGAAAGATATAGGTGGGCGCAATAAAGTTTGAAACAAACAATAGATAACTATAAGAACCGATGGGTGCAGGGGGTCAGGGCATTCCCGCTGTTATCAGCAGCAGGCGTCCTGGCTGCCTTGGTTATGTTCACAGAATGCAACAAGGTCCACTCTCACGAGACCCTCTGTATGGTCCAATTTTAGTCTAACAGAAGGCAGAAGAGCGCTAGTCGCACACGCCTAAGCTTTACTGATGTATGTATACGTAACATGAAGCTCTTCAAAATCGACACTAACAGTTAGGAACAAGAGACACTGGATAGATCCACATGGAAAGCAAGCATAAAGGAAGGGTCCCAGATTCCAAATGGCATTATACCAGAAAGTAGAAAGAAATGAGAAAGTGCAATAGAACCCAGTGATTGTAGATGTTCAGCATTTGACGGCAGCTGTGTATCAAGGATTGGCCTCTTTAGTCACACGAGAAGTTGCAAAGGGAAAAGTCTCTCGAGACGCAAAATGCCACAGAGAGACATTTGTGTTTTCCTTTAGTTTGGGTCATTAGTTGTGCTTCGTTTTCATTCAACCCACAGAGGACCCAAAATATCTGAGACTTAGACAAATTCCTATAAGGATCAATAAAGCAGCCCTAGTCTTAGACCTTCTTAGTATTAGATCCTCCAGCGCCGTTCAGCGTATGGAGCGGAAAGCTATCTCCTCAGAGATCGGTCTTAGGCGATTTCCAAGGCTCTTCCAAGTTGGTGACCTCTGATTTTGGATCTTTAAAGAAGGCTCGACACATCCTAGACGTGGACGGCCTTGTTTGTGCTTTCCCCTTTTCAGCTTTCTTGTTATAGCTGACATTGGTAGACAATTCAATTATCCTGGAGACCAAGATCCATTTCTATATATAGTTATTGCCTCTTCTGCCCCTAAGCCTGCGAGACAGGGAAATCATCCTTAAGGTTGAAAATAAGCTAAAACGTGACGCAGCACCGATGTCTGTCAAGGATTCTAGGAATAACATACCGACATGCTGTCACCAATAGAGAAATCCATTTCCCATAGGAGCATTGGGGAGTGGTGGCTGAGTGGTTAAGCACCAGGCTTCCGAAACTTGGGTTTTGATTCGAATCTCGGTGAAGACTGGGATTTTAAATATAAGGATTTTTAGGGCGCCCTTGAGTCCACCCAACTCTAATGGGTACATGACTTTAGTTGGGGAAACGTTTAGCTGGCCACTTGACACCCAGCTTGTTAACCGTTGGCCAAAGAAGCAGATGACCTTATCATCTTCCCTATAGATAGCAAGGTATGAAGTGGGGACTTTGCTTACTTTTACACGAGTGTTCGCCCCTTAAGTGAACCACTGTTACAAAAAGAGGACGAAGGCTAGAAATAATATGTATTCATCTAAGCCACTCTCGTCTCGTTATCTTCTTTGAACTGCACTAGATGTTGTTACTTTCTAAAATTAACTGTTTGTGTGAGTTAATTATGTTTTTCTTTTCAAATCTTTAACTTCGAGCAGTTTCTTGTTTTAAATGATGGTTTTAAGAGTGTACATACATAGCTCCTCCATCGCTGTAAAAGTAGACATCTTTGTTGTACATAATTAATTTATTTAGAACCTTGTATATGCTTTTAGTAAATAGCGATGGTCGTGTGGTATGAACTGTGGACTGTCGTCTCGAAGGCCCATGCCTACTCCATTCCCAGCCGTCCTGTAATAATCTTTACTCAGCAGTAGCAAGCCAAACATGTAAAACCAACGATAGTGCATACAACTGTACTCCGTGTGTTTTTAACTTACGACCTAAGTCTTTAAGCAAAGAAACGTACTCCATCTTTGGCCTAATCTATGAGCCTAGATATTATTTATTAAAAAAATGCTTATGTTTTATCTTTCAGGCGGACCATAGAGTTGTTATTAAGATTAATGTCCTTATGTTGAATGCATTTCATAAGGTTGTATATATAGTCAATGTATGTTTGACTAAAGAACATAGAGTTTGATTGCCTTTAGAAATATTTAAGCCTCTTTGTTATTCTTAGTACTTTACGACATAATCTTATACTCTAATAATTTCAACTTACAGCGTTTCTCCAGCAATATTTACATCTCCTATTCAACGTGTCAAAACATTAACTATAGAGAAATTAAGTAGAGTGTCTTCATTCGCAAGGCATCGGGCTAAGAGTTTCTTTATTAATTTCTGGAGTCGGTGCCCTGCGAATCAAGCCCATTAAGAACAAGGTCATTATAAAGAGAACTGCGACATTGATGATCAAAGTAATGAAAAATTATTGAGAATTGGAAAAGACCTGAGAGAGAGAGAGAGAGGGGGGGGGGGGGAGAGAGAGAGAGTGCCGGAGCAGTAGAGGAGAAAATATGATTATATTCACTTAGGCTCACTACTCCCCAAAAAATGACCCTAAAAAAAAAGCGGTACGGTCAAACTGATGTGGTTTTCTACTTCATTGTGTAATAAGACTTGTGTGTTCGGAAATATCCAATTCATAGAATAGAAACTTTTGAAAAAGAACAAAAATCGATTTTTTAAATTTTTTTTAGAATACAGTGTTTGAAGGTTGGTCCTAAACTGAGATGGAATCTTAACGACTTGTAAATAGATGTACAGACTTTCTACATTCAAAACATGTGTATCCTACTCATCTCTCTTATACTCATTAGATAGAATTATGTTCATCATAAACGTCAGATTAAAATGTTTTGTTTTTTTTAACTGTTTCTCCTTATTCGTGTTTTTACTCTCAACCCCAGAATTAAAAAAATATAATCCCACTTTAAATATGTTTGTCTTTATTTCTTTCCTCAAGATGAAAAAATAGAACATTAGAGAAATTAACAGGAAGTATCGACAGACTCAAGAAGGGAAGTAACTTGTGAATAAATATACAGCATATTTGTATAGCAAGAGTTATCTATACATATTCAACTGACAGCATACACGAACAGATGACGTAATGAAAAATATGGAGCTTTAAGCAATTTTTAAAAAAAGGCGATTATTGATTAAGTGACGGATCAGGTTCGAATCTCCGAGGACTGGAGAATTCATCAATCAATTGAGATGTAGAGAGAAAAAAACATGCTATAGAAAAAGGGAAGTTAACTCTAACGCGCCTGTAAAGATGGGTTCTTCCCCTTACCAGTTCTCGTGTGCCGAGAAAGACCAAACCTATTGGCATGTAGTATTATAAGTATGACATCGATGCTAATCAAACAATCAAATGTACTCAGAATCCCACCTTTTTTTTATTTTCTTAAAAGATCTATTCCCGTGATGTGTGTGACACTTCTGACTTCTTGGTCAAAGTAGACATCTCCAAGTTCATATAAATTTTGAGCTAATATGAGGCGTTTCATTTCCAGCTTTGCATAGGCCCTACATCTCTATAAATCATTATGATCTCTCCAGAAAGAAATCCGACATGGCAGAAAAGCCTTTTCGTGGTGAATTGACCCTTATAGAAGTAATGGACAGAAAACATCAGGTTTCTTTTCAGAAATAGCATTTTCGTATTTACGAAATAGCGAATTCGTCCGATCTCTATACGTTGCCAGTGACAACACAATTAGAAAAACACATTTGATAAGTCAGTTACCTCCCTTTATTGAGGATATTCACCCAAATATATATACAAGATATAAAAAAAGATTAGTAGGCCTATCAAAGCCGGCCTTAGCTTATGAAAACTAGGCAGCCGCCTAGGGCCTCCTATTGGTCGGGGCCTCTCGACTCAAAACCATTTTTTAGAGAAGAAATAGTGAAACTTGTCCCCAATGTTATTGTTGAAGTACATTGCGTAATTTTATTTTGTTTTTATAAATTTTTCCTATTTCATTTGGGGCCATCAAAATCACTTTGCCTAGGGCTTCTAATTATCTAAGGGAAGGGAAGTAACCTGAAGACATTCGTCAAAATTACCTACTTAACATTTCAATTGTTCATCACCTGTAGTTCAATCTGCAAGATCAGCTATAAATCTAAGTATTTTTTTATAAACCTAAAACGATTAATTCACTAATGATAATAATAACAATAAGACATCGTCTTTAAGCCAAAGATTATGGGAAATTGCATTATTTCATGTGACATCCTAGTCCCAACTATGACCTACATTTTTTGTCACACCTTACACATGAAGCAACTGTCTATAGGAGGTTGCTCCTCTTCTTCTTCTTGAGTCCCAACAGTATGGGCATCAGACCTGAGTTCTTGCAATGAGCATATACATGATAAGGCTTGTCTTCAAGTCTGAAGATTAGTGAGGAATACAAGATTTCCCATGGCTCCACAACCCCATCTGTGACCTACATATTTTGCCACTGTCTGCAGGTGGTCGATTTAGATTCTCTTTTCGCCAAGGAGTATATACTTAATAAGCATGTTAATGGATGGCAAAAATTTGATGATATTTTGGATTAATATTGGAAGTGTTTTGAAAGTACAATTTTATAGAACACTTGCCTCGCCAGCACAAACTTGAGCCAATCAAAATTAAAATGTTGTTGAGCAGCAGTTCATGTACCACTTCCTCACCCCTAACTCCCAGAAGAAACAAAACCAGTTCCACCAAATACTCAAAAGACACATTTTTGGCAAAAAATATTGAGAAAGAAAAATACTTAAAAACTCAGAAAAAAAACATTTTAAAAATATTGCAAAATTTATTTAGAATGTTATTTACAGATTCAGCCAATTCTATAAGGAAAAAATTTTATAAATCAACGATGATATAATGAACAAATGAAAAACCTTATTTTGATACAAAAGAACCAAAACAAAATTCATTCATTGAACATTTTTTAAACTAATAAAAATCTTTTAACCATATTGAGAAAAAAGGGAATGACATATTTCTCAGCAATTTTTTTCTAAAGTCAAACTGAACTGCATTATTCAAATTTCTTTAAACTGAAATTGATAATAGATTTTCAACCACTAAATGTTAACATCAACAAAAATAGAAAAAAAAAAAAAAAATCTCAATCTTTACAGTCAACAGTAATATTTGTTTGGATGTCCATCAGATGAATGGGAAGTTGAATACTCAAAGTGACACTACCATGACATATTTAGTCTATTCAGCAGCAGTTGACTTGAATAATCAATAGCTTCATATTTTTACAACTTTACAGCAAAATAAAATACAAAAAATATATATTAAAAATGAAGCACCAACCTTCTTGATTATTGTCTTAACTCTTTGTTGTTTTAATTACATTAATTCACATCTAATTAATGTACAGTATTCATAAATCTTGACTAATCTAATGTCAAAAATTGTTTTAAAAAAAAAAATTAATAAGCATTTAAGCATATTTTTTTCTTTTGTGACATCTTTTTTTTCATATTATGCAAATTATAAACCCTGACCTATTAACCCCTGAATGACTCAATGATAAAGTGAAAAAGGATTTGATTTTAAATTGTTAGGCATAGTCACATAAGACAAGTGTACTTGTTTCTGATGGGACATGATGGCTGAGTGGTAAAGCACTTCAAAACAGATGGGTGTGAGTTTTGAATTTCAGGGTTTTCAGGGCACCCTTAAGTCCAACTAACCTTAACAGGTACCTAACATTAGTCGGGGAAAAAACAAAGCCAGTTGGTTGTTGTGCTTGCCACATGACACCCTCCTTAACCGTGGGCCACAGAAACACATGACCTTTCCATCACCTGCCCTATAAATCTTAAGATGAGAACTTTACTTTTTGCATTTTCTTGTTTCTGAGGCCAGCAGTTTATGCAAGAAGAGGTAACAATACTAATGACCACTTCCATTAATTATGACCTAACTAAAAATAAAAAAATCTATAAAAAAAAACTACATTTTTTAAAAGATTTCCTACTTCCAAAAGAAAAATTAGCAACAATAATATTCACACATACACACAATGTTAACAATTTAAATGTCACTAACATATGTACATGCTGTATGATAAGGCTGGTGACACCCAAATGTTGGCTTATGTTGGTCTTGAAATATTAGAAACATTAAAAAAATAAATCATTGAATTGATGGAATTTTTTGAACAAAACTCTGATAAAACAAAATATGTTATTTGTTTATATATAGAATATATACAAGTTATAAAAAAAAATATTACAAATAATTTTTCTACATATATATACAAAATATCTTAAATACAAAAAACAGATTGTTGGTTGGAATGTTTCATGAGATTCTATTTAATGCACCACCTGATAGGGCGGAATCTCAATTAATTATTTGCTTCGTTTAAACATTTCATTGTTTTGATCTTTCTAACTATTTTAATTAAATTTGAAATTAAAATAGACTCTAAGTTTTCCATACCTCATATTTAGTGGACAATGGGTACTTTCATGTTGTATTTTTTAAATAACTATATTGTTTTAATCAAGTCAACAAGGTTTATAGGCCAAAAATTCTGAATAATTAAGTTGAAAACACTGATCTAAATATTTACTTTCTTGTCAAATTCAACGTTCACTTTTAATAGAATCTTGCAAGTAGTGGTCCTTTTGAGCTCATAATAGTACCATTACTAAGTTGCTGTTCTTTTTTAAACAGTGACAGGATTTTATGCCACCATAGTCTAACTTGATTGAAGACATGAAATTTTATTGAAAGTAGAAAAGATATTTTCTTAATACTTCTACATTATTAATTACATATAAGGTTTCGGCCTATCTTCATCTTTTTTCTCTTTCCCTGCAAGCAATAAGCATACGCCAGCAAAGAGGCAAAGCCACCCAGACACACAGCATAGACCATAAGACCAGGAGAGAAGATTCATGTCTGGTCGAGGAATCCATAGCCTGTCTTCCTTGTAGACACCAAACACAACAAGGGCAATAAAGATGACCACAACTAAAAGAAAGAAAAAAAAAAGACATTTTAACAAAAATAAAGCTGATGTCTGTTAGGCGCGTACGTCTTTTCATTATAAACTAAGGCATAACAGTTGAAAAGTATGACTGACTAACATGTAGTATACTATTCAGATTGTCAGCTCGATGGTCCCAGGTTCTGCCCACTGCCATCTTCTGACACCCTGTAGGAGGCTTGAGATAGAAGGTAATAATCTTCCTTTTTTAAGGAACTTATAAAACCTTGTTTTACATGTTTCAGATGTTCCTTCAGAGTTGAAGATAGTTTACTTCCTAGTCCAAACCTCCCGCAGGACGACGGGGGATGGGAGCGGGCAGAGTTTGAACCCGGGACCATCGATAAATCCAAACGACAGTCCAGCGCGCAAACTGCATGACCAGGCAGCCATCCAACTTACAAGTCATGTCTGTAAAACATTTGGCATGTTTCAGATGTTCCTTCAGAGTTAAAAATAATCTTCATCCGAGCCCAAACCTCCCACAGGATGATGGGAATGGAAGCAGGCAAGGTTTGAGCCAGAGACCATCAAGAGAACTGAATAACAGTGCAGCATACAAACTTTTTTAATGGGATTCTTTACACAAGTTAAGTGCCAACTATAATTTGAGATGCATATTTTGGTAAGTACATTAAAAGAGGTATTTAATAATGGGATTTAAGGGATTGTAAAGGTTGCTTTGCTTATAAAATGATAGTAATTGAAAAAAAAAATTCATATTAGCAATATACATACATTATTATTTTTGGGGTACTATAGGTAACTAGCTACATTAATCAACCAGTTAAAAAGATAATGAGTTAAATAATGAGTGTGTGCTGTGGAACAAAGGATGAGGAATGCAGAAATTTTAAAAATATATCCTATAGAAAAAAAAATAATTTTTTATTGAGTTGACACTAATATAATGGGTTTAAGTACATACTATGGTTTTTTTTGTAAAAAAAATGGTTGTTTTTTCAAGGTCATTATTTTATTTCTGTTTCATGACCATGGTGTCACAGATCTTTGTGGAAACAGGGTCTATGTCGACTATGTCTAAGTAAGTCTGTGGATTCAACAGATGTAATAATAATTGGATGTTTCAACTTACCAGTAAACAACATGGCTGCACCAGTTCCTGTAAGCAGGGCATATTGTAAATGTTTAGGGAAGAGTTTGAATGTGTTTAATGTCAAGGCCACAGTCACAAGGAAGATAAACAAAAGAGATGCTGAAACCATAACCTGAACAGACACAAACCAAGCTGCGAAGAAAAACAGAAAATAGCAATAAATAATAAATTAATAATTAGATATATATATCTAGATCTATACAGAGTATAATATTTATAAAAAATAATAGGTCTATAGAGTATAGATCTAGAGGGTTATTAAATATTAATATTTTAAAAAGGCGCTACAACTTTCTACAAGTAGGCAACAGTCAATTTTAATCTTCTTTTCTTTATAAATCACTTAATTTTTTTAATTAATTAGCTATGAGTAGAGCCCTAAATTCCTAAATCATACTAGATCTAGACTAGATCAAAATTGAAAATGGCCTAAAACCAGTTAAAAAAAAAAAAAAAGGCTTGAAATATTAGACTAGTTAACAGTAAATTTTCAAGTAATAGACTGTAGCTGTAGATTTAATAGAATTATAGATCTAGATTAAATGATCAAATTTATGTAATTGATAAGGTATAGATCTAGATTAAATGATCAAATTTATGTAATTGATAAGGATCTTAATTAGTAACTAATAATATTTTGCTTATAATATATTTAATAAGTATATAAAGACTAGAACTCTAGATCTAGATCTATTTCCGGTTGCCATTATTGAATAATTGTTGACAATCGCTTCCGCATTGTAGATCTATGGATTTGACCTACTCTTATCCCAATAATAGCTATATGATATATGTCCATTCAAAAATAAAATTATCAGTAGTCCTATATTGTGTTACATTAACCAATTATATGGATTTCGTATTGTACTTACGAGGGGAGACCCACTCCCAGATCGGTCTAATCTCTGGCGAGAACACGTAGAAACATCCCAGGTATCGCTTGCCGTTGTAATCCTTATAGAAGGTGTAATCATTAAAACAAAACTCCCAAAGACCAAGCTTGACAAACGTCCCTTTGAATTCCTCAAAAGACTCAACCCAATAAGGGCTAGCAAAGGCCACAATCATAAACAACAAGGCACCTGCAGTAAAGCCAAATCCTACGATGCCAAGCATGCCCATTTTCGACAAATTCTGTGTCTTTTCCTCATCAGAAAAATATAGGTCGCGCACCTGTCCTGGTGACTTGGCGACATTGGGCGAGTTTATTTTAAAGTCGTAAAAAGGTTCGTTTATAATTTATATCTTTTTTTTCTTTCATGTGTATTTAGAGATAATAAGGGCAAGTTTATTATTAAATTAGGAATAAGGATAGTTGCATTACGTCGCTTTCAATATTTGTCAATACGCATGTACAAAAGTGTTTATTTGTTATATGAAATAGTTGATAAACCTTTGAGCTTGTTCTACCTATAGTCCTAACTGAACTCTACCTGTCTCCTGCCGAAAATAGACTTGATGTGTCTCCTAAAATTAGGACATTTTAATTTCCTTACAAAAACACAACAAATCTTGTTTCAAAATGGGGAACTCTGGAAGGGTGACGGGCTGGACAATTGCTGGGACTATTCTTATTGGGGTGTCCATCATAGCCCTTCTGTTCGCCAGCGCCTACCCGTACTGGCAGCAGGCCGAGAAAACCAGAGACACAGGTATCCCCAGTATCGGATTATGGTCCATTTGCTTCAGAGCCGACGGCTACCCAGCGCCATCCTGGGCCAACGACATATTAGGGAACAGATACTACGGATGTAACTATGTGTTTGACAGAGATTTGAGGAAAATCGTAGATTGGATTTATCCAGGTAAACGTATATATAGATCTAATATAGTCTAGTTCCAATACATTAGTTGGTCTAGAGTTTTCATTCTAGTCCTAGTTCTTATTTGTTCACCAATTTTTTTTAATATAATACAACATAATAATTAGATATCAATATTACATATAACTTATAGATCTAAATGTGTATTACAAATCCACACTACAAAAACTTGAAAAAGC